GCGAGTGAAACCTTGAAAGCTCGCGAGATCAGGATGGTCTCACGAGGCCATGGAGTTGATCCTCCTGTTGCTCTGCTGAGCTGCAAGCAAGCCCAGTTTTTTTTTCTGAATTATTACAAATGAACTATTTTCAGCCAAAATCCTTACTTCCTCTAAACTTTCCATCAATATATTTGGTTTCGGCACCCTGAACAGCTGCTGGTCAATTAAAAAGTTAAACCTACGAAGGTTATAACAATTATTTAAATTTCATTTTCTTTGTTGAAGAAAACTATTTTAGTTTTCTTTTCATAGATGCTGTAAAAATCAGTTAAAATTGTTAGCAATTAATTTAAAATATTAAGTTCTGCTTGTTTTGAATTCATTAAAAAAATGTTAGATTTTGAGTCTAATTAGTGTAATAAACGAACTCCCACCGATTTTCTATTTTAATGAGATTTTCCTCTATTTTAGATGAAATCTAAAATGTCTGGGTTTTAATTCTGGGTAAAAAAATTTACTTGAAAGAGATGTTCCAGATGCTGACAAGATGAATTACAGAAAGGAAGTCATGATTGCTTTCAGGAAAACCGCTCCCTGTGAATCTATAAGGACTAAAAGGATTTCAAACTATACAACACAACAATTTAACCAGCATTTTTTATTATAAGCTAACCCACAAACAAAAAGGATTTATTTTCTTTTAGCTGAACCAGTTTTCAGTGTCAATAAGCAATTATCATTTCATCAACCTGACATTGACTTTAATCTATTTGTCTTGTTCTTTTAAGCTCTAAAAAGGCCAGACAAGCACAGCTTTCAAGGGATTAAAGATCTATTTAAGGTGTACAATAATAGAATTTATAAATAGTGGCCTAGCTTAGAATTAACTAAGAATAAATCAGTCCACAGACAGGTGCTCCTGCAGATTGGCTATGGGTCTTTTCTGAAGCCTAATAATAATCATCTGTACTTTATTTTCTCTCTAATCTTCCACATGTCGCAGCTGTAGGGATTTTTAGAATCATGAAAAAAAGCACTAAAAGGTTTACATCTCTTTTGTGTCTCTTATCAAACAGGAAAAGCTCAGATGTTTACTCCTCTTTGTCATTTTCTGCTTGGAATATTGTGTTCTTTGTGCTTCATAAACTGGAACAGAAAGCAGCAGAATGAGCATTTCTTTTCCTCAAATGGACGAGCCGCATCTGATAAGGCATTAGGTCAGAGCTCCAGGATGGCACTTCCCCCAAAACGTATTATTTTTTTCACTTCCCCGGTAGGAAAATTTTACAGATTCACAGAAGCTTCATTCATGAGGGATTAATATATTGGAACATAAATTATTTTACCCACTTACTGTTGGCAGGTATGCTGGAAAGCTTGTTATGTTAAGAGCTGGAAAGAATCGGTGCTTGTGGGAGCAAATAAATGCGTAAAATGGTGTTGGTTTTTTCTAACCAGAAATCACAGAGTTTTTACATCATCAGTGCTTTTAGTAACATAATGTTCTAAATGGTGCCTTCAGCTGCATTATTAACACTTAGCATACCATCGTGAAATAGTTTAACTCCTTTACTGCATCCAACTTTATGTTTTTTTCTCCAGATGGAACATATACCTGCATAGTGCTTGTGTTTAGTAAGTAAATTAAGCAAGTTTTCTGTCCAGGAATGTATTTGAGAAACTATTGTCTTTGTTTTTCTTTGCAATAGAAAGTACTCCAAGTTCCTTCTTAGAAAACTTTTTATTGGAAGTAACTCTGAATCAGTGCATTTGGCAAAGACTCCTTTCCTTCATGGAGCCACCGAAGCCTCTATAACCTCCGTATGTTTTCTCTTTTTACTTTTTGTCTCATAGAAAGCTCTTACAAAAAGATAGAAAATACTCTTTCAGTAATTGTGTTATTGTAAGTTATTGATGCACTGACTTTATGAAGTGCTTCTATTTTTTTTCCCCCTTGCACCTTGAAAGTACACCTGAGGTTTTGCTTGTTTGCATCTTTATTCCGAAAGGTGACATTTCTAAGATATTGGTGCCTGTATCTTTGTGAACCCTCATCTCTTTCCCATTGAAAGTTCACCTGACTTGATCCCTGTGTGTTAGCTGCAATGTTATTGTTGACAGAGTCTTTTAACCAACGATCAGAGGTGGAAAGTACGGTGGCCCTGAAGTGCAAAGTGCAACTACAAATCTAAAAGCGCAACTACATTAAGGAGATCGCAACTGCATAAAGCAAAGCGCAACTACATTAAGGAAAACGCAATTACATTAACCTACCTGAAAAGGTAGGTACCAGTGGGAAATATGAGACATCGCTGATTGGACGACGGCGCCGTTTGACCCTTGAACCGGAAGTCATTCTGCCTGCTGTGGCTTTTGAAAACATGGATATTGTCAGCGCCCCAAACATAGCTGCCGTTATCCAGGAATATTTTGAATCAGGACATACGTACGAGGTGATACTGGATATGCTCAAGACTAATCACGAATTTTCAGCTAGTTTGCGTACACTGAAGACACACTTAAAAGAAGCTGGACTGTTCAGACGACGCAACTTCCAGTTCGAGGGTCAAACGGCCCCGTCGTCCAATCAGCGATGTCTCATGTTTCCCACTGGTACCTACCTTTTCCGGTAGGTTAATGTAATTGTGTTTTCCTTGATGTAGTTGCACTTTTAGATTTGTAGTTGCAGTTTGCACTTCAGGGCCACAATAGGAAAGAGTACTAAAAAATTATAATTGAGTAAAAGTATCTTTACTTGCCTAAGTTTTAATCAGAGTTAAAGTAAAATTACCCATCTCAAAATTTACTCAAGTAAAAGTACAATATGACTTCATTTAAAATGTAATTTGAGTAAAAGTTACTTAGTTACTTTGAGTTATTTAATGCAAAAAAGGATGAGTCATGAATCGAATTGACTATAAGGTGTTTTAATCGATTTCAAGGCGTATTTCAGTGACATCCACACTTGCAAAAGATCAGCTGGGCTAAAGAATATACTTCCTCACAGCACAAGGACAGTCGGAACCTGAAGCATAAAGTGCAAACAATTTTCAATCCTACTGTCCAACAGACAACACCATGATAGGAATAAAGAAATTTAAACTACATTTTAAAGTTTTCAAAACGCACACAAAATTAAATGCCCAAAAGATACCAGAAATCAAACTAAAACGCAACAGGATCCCACTGTTATTAACAAGCTCCTCATTTAATGATTTTAACTGACACTTGTTTTACTTTAATAGTGATTTTTAACTGTCACTTATTTTTACATCAATTGTTTATATGTTTGAATTGTGTAAATAAAGTGCTGTTAAAAGTCAAAAGTCTTTTTCTTCTATTTTTTAATGGCGATTAAGTGTTGGTTCCGTAACACAGGGGTTTAAATTTCTGGCCGTATTTAATTTTTTCATCATTTTTTTAACTCAGTAACGTGAGGGGGTTTTAAATGTAGCGAAGTAAAACTACTTAGGTTAAAATTTACTCGAGTAAAAGTAAAAACTACATATTTGAAAAACTACTCAGAAAATTACAAATTACTCATAAAAAGTACTCAATTAGAGTAACTTGCGTAAATGTAATTTGTTACTTTCCACCCCTGCCAATGATGAGATGAGCTTGGTAACCATTTTTTATGCGTCTCTACTTTTCTTTCCAACAGAAAATACTTGCACTGATTTTCTATTTAGCTGCATCATATTTTCTGGAAAGAAACAATAAATGGTGCCCATCTATGTCATTTTACCCCAACAGCCACTTAGAGACCTTTAACTATGTGGATTCTAATTTTCTTTCTAACAGAAAGTACCAAAGGGTAAAAAAATATATGTGGGTATCAGTGAAACATGAATAAACAATACTGAACTGAACAGTAGATTTATAACTTTGATCAATTTAGGCTGTAAAACAACAGTAAATGTGATGTAACTCACCAGATCTGGGTTAATCTGACTTTATTTAACAATAAAAACTAGATTTAAGAGTAAAACTGCTGACCTGTGAGGAAGACAAGGAGTTTATGGCGCCATGTGAAGCCAGCTGGGCGAGGCGGTGGCCGCTGTTGAGAACCGACTGGTCTTTAGACATCAGAGCCTCGGCCCGTTTGATGATATCTCCCATTCGGTGGATGAAGCCCTCCTTCTCTGATGGCAGGATGAATTCACTTCGAACCTAAATGATAACAGGTGGTAATGCATTGTTTAATGTTAATACTTTATGACCAATCCATTCTTACACCCTCTTCCTTTAAAAGTCTGGGGTGAAAAGATTCTAATATATTCTATAAATTGGAAGTTGACATTACATAACTTCACTTTTGTGATAAAGCATTGACATCTTTACAATGTAGGTTCTGATTTTATCCTATATTCTCCTTTAGGCTTTAATAATAAAGATCACATATGCTTCAGTACTTGGATAACTTGCAGTAGACATACCAGAGTGTCCTGCACTTACATAGCACCTTTCTAAACAGCTGGATTTAGAAAGTTCTTGAAAGGTTTTTCTCTGCCACATAATTACACATAGGTGCCTCCGGGGGAAGCACCCCTTAAGGTTCACTTTCTCATACAAGGGTGTAAAAACGTATGGAGGAACAGTGGGCTAAACTAGACACAAACTCATAAGAGAGCAACTAGTTTTATGGCCTGAGGCAAGGCACCTGCAAACTCATATGAGCTGGCTTTTTATGGAAACTCAGTTTTCCATCAATAATAAACCAAAGGATTCCCGTTAGTGGTTTGGACAGGAAGCAGTGTTTTCCTTCCGTTTTAAGACATAATATTCTGTTAATAATGAGCTGCTGTTATGCAGATTTAGTAGTATTAGTTTAGGACTTAGGAGTATTTTCAAAAGAAGCCACATCTAACAAAGAACAGTAAGCATTTTAATTTTTGCAGTTGAATAAAATATTTTTCTGGGAGAATTAAAGAAGGAATTCCCCTAGGTTTAATTCTAGTCTGTTATATGTTGACAAGTCTTATTAATAAAAATTGAAGAATCTCAGCAGAATAGTGTAATGTTATCACTTTGTTGGCTTAAAGTTGGTTCCTGATGAGATAAATATGGGGACAGAGGGGTGCAAACGCAATGCAAATACATAATCGCACATCATAAAAATAAAGGACTGCAAAGACATACATATGGCCTGTGAACACGAAAAGGAGACCAGCAAACATAAAAATTGGACTAATAAACAAACCACATGCCAAAAAAAAAGTTTCGATCACAGGAAATGAGAACAGCAAAGTGCAAACAAGCTGCAAACAAATAAATGATGCTAACACAAAAATACATGCAATGGTAAAAAGCTACAAGAAGCAAAAACAACTGCAAGTTTGTAAAATAAAGGGCTGGTTATACTCCCCGTTATGTGTCGCAGTGAGCTTGACGCAGACATTTTTGATTTATGCTAAATTTTTAAGCGTGGTCTGCGCTATGTTATATTCCACGCCATAACGCAAGAGGTACAATCATGAACTAGCTGTGGGTATAGATAAGGCAGAGTCGGTGAGGAAGTGGGGGCAAGTTTGTCCGACAACGGAGAAACATGAGGGATCCAGGTGGAAAAAGGTCCCAGCGTTCTCACGCACCTCGCTCTTTTAGCTGGTCTAACTTTACAAGTTGTTTTCCGCAATTGCCGGCAAATGGATGTAGATTTGTCCAATCAGAAGCCTCCTGTCTGCTGTCACCTACAATTTGGGAGAGGTGTCTGCGGAGGGGGCGGGACGTCTTTGCGTTCACTGAGACATCTACGCAGACGACCTAGTTTCGAACTTTAAATCAGCCTTAACTCTGCATGACAGAAGTGCTCCAGACCACTAGGGGGAGATATTCATCAACTCCTTATGGGATTAGAATGTAGAAACTAATACGAATTTATTCCTATTGACCAGTAGCCTTGCTAGCTCAACTGGCTTACACCTTCTACTCAATACACAGTGTATCATTCTGGGAAAGCTCAGACTCTCTGGATCAATCATAGTACAGGAGGATGGAGTTTACCCCTATACCAGAATTACCCATAATGCAACAGTGTTTTTCTGTAACCATAACAACCAGTATTGCAGCTTAAAGGAGCAATGTTTTAAAGATGCTATTTCTTATGAGCTGGGTTTATTTTTATCTTTCTAAAAACTGGTCACAGTAAGAGACTTTCTTAAGAAATAAATAAAAATATGTTTTTGCATCACATCCATAATTGTCTGAGAGGTTCTAATCTTTTTCCTCACTCTGTAAGTCCCTTCCTGCCTTTGAAATCAGGCTCTCTCCCCCCTCCTCCAGCAGGACTAATGGAGCTGATCCTTAGCAAAAACTTAGACTCAATGCCCGCCCAGAGGAGATTTGAAAGAGAAGAAAGTAAATTTATCTTTCACTTTTCTTGAACACAATCTTTCTGAGTATCCCGCTGTATGAAAAATAAATTATGATCTTCTCACCCTATTGGTCTGCAGCCTCTGTTATGCAGAAATGTGCAGATTTTCTTAGCTTGTAGTTCTTTTTGCAACATTTTCCCTTTGCATATTGTTTGTTTTGTGTATTCATATAATTTTTATATTTTTGCAGTATTTTTTGAATGTATTTCACATTTATGTATTGGCAGGGCATTTGCACCCCTTGGCTACTGTGTAGAAGACACTAAAAAAATAATTATTCTAGAAATGATTCACACATTTGAAATGTTGGCATTTCTAACCTAGAGGGAGACCGTACCAAGAGAGCTACATCCAACACACATCTGAGTATTCATCTGCAAGGCAGCCCTTCTTTCAGAGAACACATTCATTTAATCAACAGATGAAGGAGAAAAGCTGACAGTGTTGGAACAATGTTCATCCTCTTAACAAAAAATGGCGTCTTGCCCAGCCTCCTGGACATAGTCACCTCTGTGGGGTGCACAACACCTACAGCAATAAGACTCTGCAAAGTACATAAAGCATGAAATCAAGACCGTTGAATAACTAACACTTTCCAACAGTCTATTGTGGAATATATAGTGGGAATTATTCAATTTAGCTTTATTGTTCCAGTCTTATTTATTTCTAAATCTTTTATCTGCAAAAACAAAAAAAAAATAAATAAATCAAAGCATAAGAAGCACTGTATTCACTTTCTTTCATTAAAAGACTTGAAAACAAGCATCTAAGTTAACAAAAAGCCTGAAGGCTTATTACTGAAAGTGAGACATGTATAATATAAACTTTAGCACTTTAAGTTTTAATTTGAGCTTCTGTTTGTTTTTTGTTTTCTTTTTGGACCACATGGCACATTTTAGCCCATTTAAAGCTCCGTACAGAGAACCACAGGGTTATTTGTGATGCCAGGTTTCCCTGCAGAGCCAAGACCCAGTAAACAAAAGATCACTGTATTTTCGAGGCAGAGAGGCGGCACACTCAGCGAATGCTGCAAAAACACCATCACACCTTGTTCACACACAGATCTCCTGTATGCAACACGCTCTCTATACGTTCAAGCATCTCTTAAAGCTTGAAATGGACGTCACATGATGCCCTGATACGATGTCAGCCAAAGAGCTTCGAACTTCAGCTGACGGATTATACGAAATAAAACAACCGTCGACTTATCAGCTGACTGGTTATAGAAACTTTTTAATTATTTGCCATCATTTTTTTTTTATTTTACCTTCTGTACCTTCTGCAAAGCTGATAGACTGGCCTCTAAAAATGACGTATTACATGATTACTGCTGCTGTTAGCGATACCTGTTTTAATCCACTCATAAAAAATAGAAATTTATTTCAGTGTATTTCTATAGCGCCAATTCACATCACATTTCATCTCAAGGCACTTTCCAGTTCACCAGATCATCCAGTCAAATTGATTTAAAGTTTTCTATCCAAGGAAAACCAGTTGATTGCATCAACTCATTGACTTGAATGCAATCCCTCACACTAAGCATGCTTGTAGTGACAGTGGAGGGGAAAAACTCCCTTTTAACAGGAAGAAACCTCCAGCAGAACCAGGCTCAGTGTGAGCGGCCATCTGCCGANACCTTCTGTACCTTCTGCAAAGCTGATAGACTGGCCTCTAAAAATGACGTATTACATGATTACTGCTGCTGTTAGCGATACCTGTTTTAATCCACACATAAAAATTCAATTCTATTCAGTTTATTTCTATAGCGTCAATTCACATCATGTCATCTCAAGGCACTTTCCAGTTCACCAGATCATCCAGTCAAATTGATTCAAAGTTTTCTTTACAAGGAAAAACTGTTGATTGCATCGACTCATTGACTTGAATACAATCCCTCACACTAAGCATGCTTGTAGCGACAGTGGGGAGGAAAAACTCCCTTTTAACAGGAAGAAACCTCCAGCAGAACCAGGCTCAGTGTGAGCGGCCATCTGCCGAGGCCGATTGGGGTTCAAAAATAAAATAATAAATATAAATAAATAAATAAAAATACATAACTTGTATAATAAAGACATGCCAAAAGAATAATTTAGGTCTTACAAATCTATTTTTAAATAATATTGTAGATCCTTGTTTTAAAGAAAATTTGGTTGAACGGAAGACATTACATTGCAAACTTAAGTCTAGCTTTCAAAACACATTGCAAGCACACACATCGATATGTTTATCTGGACTTTATGTGGTGCACTAACAAAGAGTAGTGCAAATTATTTAATTAAAAGAATAAAGTGATTTGATTTTATAAAAGTGAAAACAAAAAGTATTTTTGGGCATTTTTATGATGCAGACTTCCTGAGTCTACAGTGTGTTGAATCCCCAGCTTTCTCCAGACATTGAATCTCCCAGCTTTCAATGCCTGGAGAACAAAACATGCTTTCAAAAAAACCTAAAGTTCAGAGTAAATAAAGAGCATCAGATTGCAAGTATTTTTTCAGATTCTAAACTAGGTTTAGATGTGAGATATGACTGGTCCATTCGATTAGCTCTGGCTGTATTTGGTCCTTCAAATACTCAGCAAGAACAGACTTTTGTTCTTAATACGGTCATCACACGGACACAGTGCTTTCTGGTCCAGGCATTTCGTGCATTATAAGAAGTTCTCAGATATCCCTCTCAAAGCTGCATTTTTAATATGGTGCGCAGGTCCACATAAATGACATGCATTGTTGGTTATACATACACAGAACTAGCCTCGTGAGTCGAGCCCCATCTCGCCAACTTTCAAGG